TCTCTGCCTCTCTTACACTCAGGTCTCCTGCCAAGAGGGGAGGATTCCATCTGCTGAGTAGTCACTGGTGGTTGGTGTAGACCAGTGAGTCTCAGCCAAGGGCCATTTTGCCATCCAGGGGACATCTGGCAGCGTTTGGAGACACTTTTGATAGTCGCAGGTGGAGTAGGGAGTTCTACTGAACTTAGGAGGTAGAATCCCAGATGGAGCTCAACACCCCACAGCACACAGCCCCGCAAGGATGACCAGCCCCAGTGTCAGTGGAGAGGAGAGGGGAGCCCTGCTCTGAGCCCTTCTCTGACCTCCCCAGAGCCTTCCCTCACCTGCTCCTTCCCACCCCTCTCCGTACCTCAGCCCCCTCCCTACTCCCCACGTTCGCCCCATCTCAGGCCCCTCCCCTTTCATCTTCAGTTCGGTTCTCAGAAGGTGCCCTTTGCCCAAGGTTAGCCCTCACCTGCCCTCTCAGGGGACCCCTGTGCGCTTCTGGCCGGAAGCGTCCACTAGAGGGCGTGCGCGCTCTTCCTGGAGCTAAGGTGAGCCTCTTTGTCCTCGGAGACCAGTGCCGCTGCCTTTCCTGCTCTAGCCCCAGTCCTGCAGATTATCCCAGGAGGAAATCCCTGGGACCGGTACCAGAGACTCCAGGGAAGAAGCTCCTACAGGAGGCGGGCAACATGAACTCGTGAACCTGGAACCGACGCCAAAACCATCGCCAGTGCCCAGGTCAATGGGGAGGGGGAGGGTCCCAGACTTAGTGGCTGGACACTCAGGGCCCTGATGCCCGGTCCTGTGTGGCCACTGGGGGAAATGGCTGTAAGCCTGTGTCCCTAAAGGCTGTGTCACCTAAGATTTGTGTAAATAGGTGTCATCAGGGCTGCTGTGGAACATTCTAGACTGGAACTTCTACAATGGGAGATGGGTCCTCCCAGGTATGTTCACTTGGAAGAATCAGGAGGGATGTGACAGTCACCAGGCACAGATGCCATCAGGGCCTGAGGGAGCAGGAGGGCTCTGGGCCTCACTGTCACCCCTGAGTGGGGACCAGGGTGTGTGGTCCTGCCCACTCACCTCAGCAGGGGCCATTGCTGGTTGTCTGTAGGGGACTGGGCTTCCCACCACCCCCTTGCAGGGCAGAGGAGGATCTGGAACCTTCCCCTAGAGTCAGACAGTGGAGGAAGCAGGTGAGTTAGGAGATGGAGGTGGGGGCTGGGGATGTGGCTCAAGCGGTAGCGTTCTCGCCTGGCATGCGTGCGGCCCGGGTTCGATCCTCAGCACCACATACAAACAAAGATGTTGTGTCCGCCAAAAACTAAAAAATAAATATTAAAAATTCTCTCTCTCTCTCTCTCTCCCTCCCTCCCTCCCTCTCTCACTCTATCTTTAAAAAAAAAAAAAAAA